CCCCCTCCCTCTTCCCTCCCTCCTTTCCTCTTCCCTCCCTCCTTCCTTCCTCTTCCCTCCCTCCCTCCTTCCTTCCTTCTCTCTACTCTCCCCCTTTTTTAGGCCTTAATCGGAGACATTTATTGCTGGAACTTTTTGAAAGTTCAAATGGCTTTTCTCTGATGCGTTGATATCAGTGGTTGATGGTCATGTTTCTTTCTTTTTTAGTTTTTTTTTCAGGAGAGAAAGTCTTTTATTTATTTTCTTACAGGTTTAGAGAGCGGGTATGTGTTCCAATATCTTCCACTATATGATATGCATAGTAAATACAAGTTTAAAAACTTTGATGTATGGGTTTCTTTTTGCCTAATAATTTATTTTTGTTGTTGTTGAGAATATACACAACAGAACACACACCAATCCAACAATTTCTATGTATACAATCCATGCAACCATTCTCACCCTTGTTTTCCAAATGGTTCCTCCCCCATTAACATAAACTCACTGCCCCCTAAGCTTCCTATCTACTCTTTCCAGTTGTTGTTGTCAGTTTGCTGCCATATAGACAGCTCTTTAAAAGATCACAATGCTCAAGGCAGACATTCTTTACTAATTAAGGTGAACTATTGTTTGGTTTAAAGAAGATTTCAGGGGATAGTTTTGGTTTAAGGGTTAAAGATTATTTCAGGTCAATAGTTTCAGGTGCTCATCCAGCCTCAATGGCTCCAGAAGTCTGCATTCCATGAAAATTTGAAATTCTCTTCCACATCTCTCCCCTTTTGATCAGCATTCTTTTATAGGATCCTTGATCAAAATGTTCAGTAATGCTAGCTGGGCACGATCCAGTTCTTCTTCATTCTTTTCTTAATGATAAAAGTGATACATGTGCTTGAGGAAAGATATGAGCCTAAAAGCCTTCTTTCTTCCCCCAAGTCTACTCTCTAATGCTAACCATTGTGATTAATCCTTTGAGAAGCCTTCTGGGATGTTCTATTACGCAGAAGCTTGCAGATACACAACCTACATGTACAAACACACATGTGCATGTGTACACATGGACACGCAGAAAGAAATGTGTCACGTGATGGAAAGAGAAAATGCTGGTCCAGGAGTTTAAAGCAATGAGGAAAGGGAAGGCTCTTCAACGGGCCAGGCTGGGGCTGCTAAAGGGAGGAGGCAATAGAATCTGAGGGTGGAGGAGGGGCCAGGGGGTGCCATAAATAATAAAATATTAGTGTTGCCAGAAAAAAAAATGTGCCGTTTAGGAGGTGAAACGTCTAATGTCTAGTTTGGATAATAACTGTACATTCCTTTTAGGTTTATCATGAGGCTTCAATGAGGGTGAAATATTTAAAGTGCTCAGTGTTGTCCAGCGCCACATCTAGCAGTATCTGACGTGTGCTGTCATTATCTTACAGAGAGTCCTTGCATTGCACTGGAACTTCATCGTCCTCTAGCCCTCTGCGTGTACGGGAATGTTGTTCGTGGCTCCGATTCATGGTGACCTTATATGTGTAACAGAACAAACCATCACCCGGTCCTGTGCCATCTTCATGACTGTTGCTGTGTCTGAGCCCACTGTTGAGGCCACGTGTCCATCCATCTCATGGAGAACTTCCCTCGGTGTCTCTGACCCTTCCCTTCACCAACCATGATGTCCTTCTTTTCCTAGCAACCGGTCTTTCCTGAGCACGTGTCCAAAGTAAGTGAGCCCAAGGCTCACAACTTGGCCACTTGTTTCTTCCTTGAGTGCTTCCAACTTCTTAATCTATGCTGTGCGGTCCTCGGTAACTCTACGGGGCAGTTCAACTCTGTTGTATACGGTCGCTATGAGTCAGAATTGACTCGATGCCAACGGGTTTGAGTTTGTTTTTTTTTTGGTCATTGAGAAAAGCTTTCTGGGTTCCTGGTTGATAGAAAGCCCTGGAGGTGTCAAGATGTTTTAGGCAGCCAAGGCCAGGACTCATTTTCTCCCTTCCAAGCTTTGGGTGGGGCATCTACTTACTTGCTGCGTTTTACGTATCCTACCTGAGGATATCCATCAGAATTGCTTACATAAGAAAAATACCGACGACTCAGAAGGGCTGTTCCTGTTCATTGTCTGCACTTACTGGCATTGGGTCTTCGGCCCCGCTGGGGCTTCCTGGCTGCTTGGGCAGTGACGTGATCCTTCTGGGACACTCGGCAGCATTTCTGATTGTATTTACAATGGCAGGCTTCAACGCTTAGCAGAGTATTTTCTGCATCCTGAATGCTCTTTGTCAGTAAAACTAAACCTGCCTACGCACTCTTCTATTCTTGATTTATAAATAGGTTTAGCTGCCTGCCAGTTAAACTTACTATATTTTGCACATGCATTTTCCTTAAGGAGACATTGAGAGGGTACATGGCTTTTATTCCCATAAAGCTCTCTAAAAACCTTTCTTTCTAACTTTTTGTTTTTTCAAGTGAGTATATTTTGAAGAGGGAGCCTTCGTGGTGCAGTGGTTAAGCGCTCGGCTGCTAACCAAAAGGTTGGCTGTTCAAACTGACCAGCTGCTCTGCAGAAGAAAGACGTGGCAGTCTGTTTTTGAAAAGATTTACAGCCTTGGAAACTTTATAGGACCGTTCTGTTATGTCCTATAGGGTGGCTATGAGTCAGAATCGACTTGACAGCCATTGGTTTTTCTTTGAACAACTGGCGATGAGACTTTTGGTCTGGAAAGCTCAAGATACAATTTCCAACACGTACAGGTAATCCAGTATCACACTGCTAGCAGGTCTTCCAAGGGACAGGCCCAGGACCAGCTCATCCGTGTCAGAGGAGGTGAGGCGTGGCATACCTTGCGATGTACATGGCCATACATGCTTGCTGCTGTGAGAAATGCTGGTGACAGATAAAACAAGACACCAGAGAGAAGAAAGATCAGTGGGGTCTGAGAAGGCATAGCTTTAGGTATTGTCATTGTGTGCCCTTGAGTCAATTCCAACTTATAGTGACCCTATGTGACAAAGGAGAACTGCCCCTTAGGGTTTCCTGGGCTGTAATCTTTATGGGACCACGCCGCCATCTCTTTCTCTTGTGGGGCCATTGGGCGGGTTCAAACTGCTGACCTTTCAGTCAGCAGCCAAGTGCTTAACCATTGTACTTCCAGGCCTCCTTTAGGTGTTTAAATTAAAGATTTGGTCATGTTGAAGGGGAGCCCTAGTGGCGCAGTGGTTAAGAGCTAAGGCTGCCAACCAAAAGGTCGGCAGTTAGAATCCACCAGTTGCTCCTTGGAAACCCTATGGGGCAGTTCTATTCTGTCCTACAGGGTTGCTATGAGTCAGAATTGAACCAACAGCAATGGGTTTTCTCTGTAACGTTGAAAGGAGAGGGCATGGCCTATACCAAGATCCGCCTGGTAACCAAGGAGGGTGTATGTGAGAGAAACTGCCTTAAGGTAGGAGTCCCTGAATGGTACTGAGGGTTAATGTGCTCAGCTGCTGACTGAAAGGGTGGAGGTTTGAGTCCACCCAGAGGTACCTGGAAAGAAAGGCCCAGCCAGCTATTTCCAAAAAATGAGTCACTGAAAACTGTATGGAGCACAGTTCTACTCTGACATACATGGGGTCGCCATGAGTCAGATCTACTCAATTGGTTTTGGCCTTAGGATTTCTGATGTGGACAGCGCGGGGACTTGGATGATAAGACTAAATAGCATACTTCCAGATGGGTTAATTCATTTATGCCTCCATATAATGCAGTAAGGCAGGTAGATCACCACTCTTTTACCCTTGGAGAAGAAGTGGAGAGAATTAAGAGTCCTGCCAGTTAGTTTGGGCATTTAACCTGGGTCTTTGCCCACTGACCTCACCTACTCTCTTGTACCCAGCACAGCCTCACCTGTGACAGACCAGTGGCCATGGGGTGGACATCAGGGTGTAGGGGACGAGCCGCGACATCTAGTTCTAGCCTGGGCCCTGTGGCCAATCTGGTATGCTCTCGGCCTGTTTTCTGCGTAAATTGAAGGGCCGGTCTGGATGATCTCTGAAGCATGGCGCAGAGGCTTGAGTGCCGCTGAGTGAAGGGCCAGGGACACAGGAAAAGGGGGCGGGCAGGACAGCCTAAGGTGACCGTGAGCACCGGTCTGATGAGAAGAGTTAGGGCCTAGGGCTGGGGTACTGGCCTTAGGGGGTGGATGGCGCGTGTTTGCAGGTAGCGAGTGCGCAGGACCTCAGGAAGTGACTGGGTAAGTTTCCACGTTCCATTAAAAAAAAAAAAAAAAATTCCCGGTCTGGGTTCTTTCCTG